CCATGAGGTTAAGGGGCCATTACAGTTGAAGAAGCAGCAATGGGAGGGGTTTACACCTTCTCCAGGAACTAACATTCTGGACTTTGTAACCAACCTACAAAACACCCTCTGAACCTCTTTAGCCCTTGCTAAAGAAAACTTACAGGATGCTCAAAAAGAGCAAAAAGCCTGGTATGATAAACTTGCCAAAGAGTGTTCCTTCAAAGTAGGGGACCAGGTCATGGTCTTGAAGGCGCTCCAGGCCCATACAATGAAAGCATCGTGGGAAGAGCCATTGACAGTCCAAGAGTACCTGGGAGCTGTTAATTATCTCATAGAATTCCCCACCTCAAACCAAAAGCCTAAGGTGTACAATTTTAATTCTCTAAAGCCCTTTTATTCCAAAGAATTAAAGGTTTGTCAGTTTATAGCGCAGGGAGGAGATGATGCTGAGTGGCCTGAAGGTAAAAAGTGATGGTGGCGTGGAAGAGGTGAACCTCTCCATGACCCTTGGGTGTATGCAGCGACAGCAGATCAAGGAGCTGTGCACTAGCTACGCGCCAACGTTCTCAGCCACCCCAGGACTAACTGAATGGGCATACCACTCCATTGACACAGGTAATGCTCACCCAATTAAAGTCCAACCTTACCGGGTGTCTCCTCAAGCTAAAACGGCTATAGAATGGGAGATTCAGGATATGTTACAGATGGGGGTAACCTCCCTCCCTCCCTGCAGTGCCTAGGCATCTCCAGTGTTTCTATTTCCCAAAACAGATGGGGAAATTCGTTTTTGCATGGACTTCCCTAAGCTAAATGCTGTAACTTACCCAAACAATTATCCAATGCCACACATAGATGAACTATTGGAGAAACTGGGAGGGGCCCAGTTCATCTCTACCTTGGACTTAACCAAGGGGTACTGGCAGGTACCTCTTGATAAATCCACCAATCATAGAATCATAGAATATCAGGGTTGGAAGGGACCCCTGAAGGTCATCTAGTCCAACCCCCTGCTCGAAGCAGGACCAATTCCCAGTTAAATCATCCCAGCCAGGGCTTTGTCAAGCCTGACCTTAAAAACCTCTAAGGAAGGAGATTCTACCACCTCCCTAGGTAACGCATTCCAGTGTTTCACCACCCTCCTAGTGAAAAAGTTTTTCCTAATATCCAATCTAAACCTCCCCCACTGCAACTTGAGACCATTACTCCTCGTTCTGTCATCTGCTACCATTGAGAACAGTCTAGAGCCATCCTCTTTGGAACCCCCTTTCAGGTAGTTGAAAGCAGCTATCAAATCCCCCCTCATTCTTCTCTTCTGCAGGCTAAACAATCCCAGCTCCCTCAGCCTCTCCTCATAAGTCATGTGTTCTAGACCCCTAATCATTTTTGTTGCCCTTCGCTGGACTCTCTCCAATTTATCCACATCCTTCTTGAAGTGTGGGTTCCAAAACTGGACACAGTACTCCAGATGAGGCCTCACCAATGTCGAATAGAGGGGAACAATCACGTCCCTCGATCTGCTTGCTATGCCCCTACTTATACATCCCAAAATGCCATTGGCCTTCTTGGCAACAAGGGCACACTGCTGACTCATATCCAGCTTCTCGTCCACTGTCACCCCTAGGTCCTTTTCCACAGAACTGCTGCCTAGCCATTCGGTCCCTAGTCTGTAGCGGTGCATTGGATTCTTCCATCCTAAGTGCAGGACCCTGCACTTATCCTTATTGAACCTCATCAGATTTCTTTTGGCCCAATCCTCCAATTTGTCTAGGTCCTTCTGTATCCTATCCCTCCCCTCCAGCGTATCTACCACTCCTCCCAGTTTAGTATCATCCGCAAATTTGCTGAGAGTGCAATCCACACCATCCTCCAGATCATTTATGATCATCCTTCATCAGTCGCCTACCTTAACAATGTGGCCATATTTTTGGATTCCTGGGCAAAACACCTACAAAATCTACAAAAAGTCTTTGAGTACCTAAGGGAGGCAGGACTAACTGTTAAGGCTAAGAAGTGTCAAATGGGCCTAAACAGAGTGACTTACCTTGGACACCAGGTGGGTCAAGGAACTATCAACCCCCTACAGGCCAAAGTGAATGCTATCCAAAAGTGGCCTGTCCCAAAGTTAAAGAAACAGGTCCAATTCTTCTTTGGCTTGGCCGGTTATTACAGGCGATTTGTATCGCAATACAGCCAAATCATCGCCCCACTGACAGACCTAACCAAAAAAGCCCAGCTAAATGCAGTTCAGTAAACTAAAAAGTGTCAGAGGGCCTTTAACCAGCTTAAAGTGACACTCATGTCTAACCCTGTGCTAAGGGCCCCAAACTTTGACAAACCATTCCTAGTACCACCGATGAGTCTGAGCTTGGTGTGGGAGCAGTTTTAATGCAGGAAGGACCGGATCAAGAATTTCTTCCTGTAGTGTTTCTCAGCAAAAAAACTGTCTGAGAGGGAAAGCGACTGGTCAGTCAGTGAAAAAGAATGTTATGCCATTGTCTTCGCTCTGGAAAAGCTACGCCCATATGTTTGGGGCTGGCGTTTCCACCTGCAAACTGACCGTGCTGCGCTACAGTGGCTTCATACCGCCACAGAAAATTTAAAAAAAACTTATTCGGTGGAGTTTAGCTCTCCAAGATTTTGATTTTGACATCCAACACATCTCAGGAGCTTCTAACAAAGTGGCTGATGCATTCTCCCATAAAAGTTTTGCAAAATCAACTGGTTAAAATCATCGTTAAGATGTGGAAAATATTGTTAGTCTTTATACAATTAGGAGTATATTTAGAGAAGCATGTGTCTTATTAACTCTGTTTTCTCCTAGAGCTCCAAAAAGATATCACAGTCAGTGTTTCATCCTATCTGTAATTTGGGGGGGGCATGTCATAAATATAAAGGGAAGGGTAACCACCTTTCTGTATACAGTGCTGTAAAATCCCTCCTGGCCAGAGGCAAAACCCTTTCACCTGTAAAGGGTGAAGAAGCTAAGATAACCTCGCTGGCACCTGACCCAAAATAAGGGGACAAAATACTTTCAAATCTGGAGCGGGGGAAACGAAGGGTTTGGTCTGTCTGTGTGATGCTTTTTCCGGGAACAGATCAGGAATGCAGCCTTGCAACTCCTATTCAGTTAGTAAGTAATCTAGCTAAAAATGTGTTTTATTTCATTTTGTTTAATGGCTGATAAAATAAGCTGTGCTGAATTGAATGTATATTCCCGCTTTTGTATCTTTTTGTAACTTAAGGTTTTGCCTAGAGGGATTCTCTATGTTTTGAATCTGATTACCCTGTAAGGTATTTGCCATCCTGATTTTACAGAGGTGATTATTTTACCTTTTCTTTAATTAAAATAATTCTTTTAAGAACCTGATTGGTTTTTCATTGTTCTTATTTCCAAGGATTTGGATCTGTGTTCACCTGTACAAATTAGTAAGGATTCTTATGAAGCCTTCCCCAGGAAAGGGGGTGTAGAGCTTGGGGGGATATTTTGGGGGAAGACGTCTCCAAGTGGGTTATTTCCCTATTCTTTGTTTAAAACACTTGGCAGTGGCAGCATATGGTTCAGGGACAAGGCAAAATTTGTACCTTGGGGAAGTTTTTAACCTCAGCTGGTAAAAATAAGCTTAGGGGTTCTTCCATGCAGGTCCCCACATCTGTACCCTAAAGTTCAGAGTGGGGAAGGAACCTTAAAAAGCTCCCTGACTAAAGGCTCTTAAGCAAAGTAAGCTGTCATGGCATAAGAGGGAAGGTCCTCTCATGGATTGGTATCTGGTTAAAAAGTAGGAAGCAAAGGGTAGGAATAAATGGTCAGTTTTCATACTGGAGAGAGGTAATTAGTGGTGTCCCTCAGAGGTCTGCACTGTGCCTAGTCCTATTCAACATATTCATAAATGATCTCGAAAATGGGGTAAACAGTCTGGTGGCAAAATTTGCGGATGATACAAAACTACTCAAGACAGTTAAGTCCCAGGCAGACTGTGAAGAGCTACAAAAGGATCTCTCAAAACTGGGTGACTGGGCACCAAAATGGCAGATGAAATTCAGTGTTGATAAATGCAAAGTAAAGCATATTGGAAAACATAATCTCAACTATACATATAAAATGATGGGATCTAAATTAGCTGTTACCACTTAAGATATATTGGAATTGGAAAAGGTACAGAAAAGAGCAACAAAAAAGGATTAGGGGTATGGAACAGCTGCCTATGAGGAGAGATTAATAAGATGCTGACATTTTAGCTTGGAAAAGAGAAAGCTAAAGGGGGATATGATAGAGGTCTATAAAATCATGACTGGTATAAAGTAATTAAGGAAGTGTTATTTACTCCTCATAATACAATTACTAGGGGTCACCAAATGAAATTAATAGGCAGCAGGTTTAAAACAAACATAAGGAGCTATTTTTTAACACAACAGACAGTCAACGTCTGGAACTCCTTTCCAGAGGATGGTCAATACTATAACAGTGTGCAAAAAAGAATTAGATAATTTTATGGAGAATAGGTCCATCAATGGCTATTAACAAGGGTAGGCAGCAATGATGTTCCGATCCTCTGTTTGCCAGAAGCTGGGAATGGGTGACAGAGGAAGGATCACTTGATGATTACATGTTTTGTTCATTCCCTGTGGGGCACCTGGGATTGGCCACTGTCAAAAGTCAGGATATTGAGCTAGATGGACCTTTGGCCTGATCCTGTATGGACATTTTTGTTTTTATGTTAATGATGGATAGCCAGTATTCACTCGTGTGTTTCCTGCTGCTGCATGTTAAGGTTTTCCACACACTCAAGTGTAGGAATTATAGATGCATGAAGCACCATCAAATATGGAATTGGCATTAGTAGGGTCAGTTGTTCATAATTCATTTATCTGAACAATGAAAATGTCTATTTTCAGTGTGTGAAGGGCGACCAATCTGCTTCACCTATGAGAACAGCCTCCAGTAATGCATGTAGTGTCTCATATTAAAATTGTCTCTCCAACCAGGCATTTGTACTGCTGCCATCACCCTGGAACCTTGGGCATATACAGAAAGTCAGGGGAACATACAGTACATGCAGGAGACACCAGTCTGCCTCAGAGTTACACACCTTCTCCTCTACTTCATGCCAGATTCCAACACAACCAACTTCACCAACCCCTCCACCTTCATCCTGCTGGGCATTCCTGGCCTGGAGGCAGCCCATGTCTGGATCTCCATCCCCTTCTGCACCATGTACATCATAGCCATCTTAGGGAACGTCACCATCCTGTTCGTCGTGAAGAGGGAGCCGAGCCTCCATGGGCCCATGTACTATTTCCTCTGCATGCTGGCCGTCACCGACCTGGTCCTGTCTACGTCCATCCTGCCCAAAACACTGAGTATCTTCTGGTTTAATTCCAGGGAGATAGATTTCAGTGCCTGCCTCACCCAGATGTATTTCATTCACTGCTTCTTAGTGGTGGAGTCTGGGATGTTCGTGGCTATGGCTTTTGATCGCTACGTGGCCATCTGCAATCCCCTGAGACATTCTACCACCCTTACAAACCCTGTGGTGGCCAAGATCAGCCTGGCTATGGTGTTGCGTGGTTGCATGTTCATATTGCCCTATCTCTTCCTGGCGAGGCAATGGCCATATTGCAGAACCAACATTATCCCCCACACGCACTGTGAGCACATGGCCGTGGTGAAGTTGGCCTGTGCAGACACTCACGTCAGTAATTACTACGGCCTCTTTGTGCTATTCTGTGTGAAGGGTATGGATATAATTTTTATCTTCCTGTCTTATATCCAGATCCTCAGGAGCATCTTCAGCCTCCCCACAAAGGACGCTCGGCTCAAGGCTTTTGGGACCTGTGGCTCCCACCTCTGTGCCATTTTTACCTTTTACATCTCATCTCTCTTCTCCTCTCTCAACCACCGGTATGGACACAATGTGGCCCTGCATTTCCACGTTTTCATGGCCAACGTGTACCTCCTGGTGCCCCCCATGCTAAACCCCATCATCTACGGGGTGAGGACCAAGCAGATCCGGGACAGACTGCTCCATCTCGTTACTCATAAAGGGACCTAAAGTTTTCTCCTGTTGCTCTGGCTGTAAGTCCGAGCTCCATGCAGAGCTGGCTGGTTACATGGTGCTGGGCCCTCTTCCCCAAATCACTTACTGGACAGTCAAATGTTTCAGAGTAGCAGCCGTGTTAGTCTGTGTTAGTCACAAAAAGAACAGGAGTATTTGTGGCACCTTAGAGACTAAGAAATTTATTAGAGCATAAGCTTTTGTGGGCTACAGCCCACTTCATCGGATGCATAGACTGGAACATATAGTAAAAAGATATATATATATATATATGTATATATATATATGTATATATATATATATATATATATACACATACAGATAAGTTGGAAGTTGTCATACAAACTGTGAGAGGCTAATTAGTTATATAAGATAAGCTATTATTAGAAGGAGAAAAAAACGTTTGTAGTGATAATCAAGATGGTCCACTTAGACAGTTGACAAGAAGGTGTGAGTATTAAGTCAAAGAGACATTAAAGCCTTTCTTGACCTTACTGTGCTGTGTCAGCATGCCACACTGGGGAATCGGTCTATGTAGAACTCATTGGGTTCCAGTTTTTTAATTGCCGGTCACTAGACCCCTAAGCACATAAGAACGGCCGTACTAGGTCAGATCAAAGTTCCATCTAGGCCAGTATGCTGTCTTCCGATCATGGCCAATTCCAAGTGCCCCAGAAGGAATGAACAGAACAGGGAATCATCAAGTGATCCATTCCCTGTCGCCCATTCCCAGCTTCTGGCAAACAGAGGATAGGGACACCAACGCTGCCCATCCTGGCCATTGATCCTCCATGAATTTATCCAGTTCTTTTTTTTAACCCTGGTTATATTCTTGACCTTCACAACATCCTCTGCCAACGAGTTCCACAGGTTGACTGTGCATTGTGTGAAGAAATAGTTCCTTTTGTTTGCTTTAACCCTGCTGCCTATGAATTTTGTTTGGTGACCCCTAGTTCTTGTGTGATGAGAAAGATTAAATAACACTGCCTTATTTACTTTATCCACACCAGTCATGATTTTATAGAGCTCAATCCTATCTTCCCTTATTCATCTCTTTTCCAAACTGAAATGTCCCAATCTTATTAATCTCTCTTCATATGGAAGCTGTTCCATACCCCTAATCACTTTTCTGAACCTTTTCCAATTCCAATATATCTTTATTGAGATGGGGCAACCAGATCTGTATGGAGTATTCAAGATATGGGCATACCAAGGATTTATATAGAGGCAATATGAAACTTTCTGTCTTATTTTCTATCCCTATCCTAATGATTCCCAACATTCTATTAGCTTTTTTGACTGCCGCTGCATATTGAGTGGATGTTTTCAGAGAATTATCCACAATGACCCTTGAGGCCACACCCCCGACCCAGCCTCTTCCCCCAAGGCCATCCCACCTGCACCAACTCTTTCCCCAAAGTCCCTCCCCCTGACCCACCTATTCCCCTGAAGTGCAACCCTTACTCCACCTCTTACCTCTAGGCCCCGTTCCCTTCTACACCTCTTTCCCCAAGTCCCTGACCCTGCTCCTAGCTCCTCTCCTTCCCCTATCACTCTCTGGTCATCTCCACCTCCCTCCCCAACCCCAGCTGGGCTCCCTCTGCTCGGGAGCTGAGTCGAGAGCTGCTGCAGCCTAACAAGGAACCTGCAATAATTGTAGTGAGGATGCAGCACTGGGGCAGACAGGCCAATCAGGAGATGAGAGGGAAGCCAGGAAACCACACAAAAGCAGCTGAGGGTTGGGAGCAGGGCTGTGTGGCATGTGGGCAAGATTGTGCATCATACGACTTGTGGGCCCTAAAGCTTGGCTACAAAGTCCTGAAGGAATAGACCATTGTGTGGCTTATTTCTTTAGCTTTCAGTTCCCTTTTCTTCCTCCTGGCTCGGGGCTGGAAGGAGGCAGGGTCCCTGCAATGGGAACCCTGTTCCTTGAGCCAGGACTCGGTGGAAGGGCAAGGGATCAGCTTTGAAGATAGGAGGACAACAGCTGATAAACGTGGAAGGATCAGCCCCTGCGTTAGCTGGGAAGTCAGAGTGCTGGGGAGAGGCTGGAGCAGTGTTGGTATTTCACAGGTAGGAAGATAAATGATACACCTTCCATTAGCCAGCTATTCACACACATACACAGCACCTTATCTGGAACTAGAGGGCACCCAGAGGCTGAAGCTGGCATTGCCTAGGGACTGAAGCTGGACAGTGAAACTGAATCTAAGGTGTGCTCTGCATGATGATTTTGATCACTACTTGTAGAAGATCTTTAGCTAAGTTGCTAGGCAGTGTTATCCCCACATCATGGACGGACTGCGCCACACAGTGATAAAGTGATTTACCCAAGACCACATAATAATTTGCAATTGTTTAAGTCTATTCAATCTCCCCCATTCCCTTTATCAACCAAATTTGTTATCACCTAAAAAAGAAATCATGCCTGTTTGGCATGTCATATTTTCCATCAGATCTTGTTCATTGGCATGAATTGTAGTTCCACCCTTTATTTCTTTATTAACTAAATCCTCTATCAGATTATCTATTATTATGCCCCAGACTGATGTCAACCTCACCGACATGTAATACCCAAGTCATTCCTTTTTGAATACTGGCATAACATTAGCTCTTTATTGGTATACTAAGATATCCCTGGTGTTCCATTGATTATTGAAAATTGACATCAGCAGGGCAGATTCTCCTCAGACAACTCTTTTAGGACTTTTTGGGTGTGAGGTATTTATAAATCCCCTAATCCCCACAGGGTTTCCTGATCTCCACAGAGAATCTGCCTCAGTGAATGTTCATCTTCCTCTCATTAGTTGCCACCTGGGTATTTATCTGTGTCAGACATTTGCATGAGATATTAATTTTATTTAACTATTCAATAGGATTTGTGTAAGAGTTTAATATTGTATCCCCCGAGATGGACTTGGTCTCTCTCAGGGCTGGTGATGCTATTTTCAGTTTTTCACCTCTAAGGCACCGGTTGAAATTGGGCTCAATGGGATAGGGATTGTAACTGCTTAATACACAAGATACCGCCCTGCAGAGAGCACTTCCATCTTCAAAGGGTTTTACAAATGTTCACTTAATAACCCTGCCTTAGTGGATCAGATCAGAGACCGTCTACCTCAGGAGCCTGTCTTGGACAATAACAGCACCAGATGCTTGAGAGGGATCAGTTGCTGGCTGGCCTCTGAGGTCTCTGAACTCTCCTGCCTGTCTGTGGGACTTGCAGTAGCTTCTGAACATCTTCATTGTAGAAACTCCCCCTCCCCTGTCATCTTTAGCAGTGGAATAGTTCACAAGATCACTGTTTCACTGATCATTGCTGGACTTCCCTGGTAACATCCTGTTAGGATGCATAGGAGCACAGCAATTGTCTCAGGGTGTCTGCAAAACATTGAAGGCCAAATGCAGCAATTATATAAATAGTGGTGTTAGGGGGCTTATTCCTTCACCCACTTACTTCCCTGGTCCTTCTCGCATGAACAGAGAGCAGCAATACCCGAAGTCCAAAGGTGCAAACAATTTGATGTTTATTGGGGTGAACTTCCAGCAAGCATGATTCCAGTTTCCTTCCTTAGTGTCCCCCTTCCCAGCTCTGACACCACAGAGCCTTACACCTGTGTCCCTGTTCCCATTCCTGCCCTTAGCCAAACAGGATTCCAGTTTCCTTCCTTAGTATCCTCCTTCCCGGCTCTGACACCACAGAGCCTTACACCTGTGTCCCTGTTCCCATTCCTGCCCTTAGCAAAACATGATTCCAATTTTCCCACCCCCATTCCCTGTTCCCATCTCCCCCACCCACACACCCACCCCCTCACTTCCTGATTGACTGCAGACTATATAGTAAAACTTGAGTTCTGCTTAGCTATACCTTAACCAATCATTTTCCTGAAATTTAACCAATCCTAACATGATTATGTAACCAATTATATCCCACCACCTTAATTAGTTTACACCCAGCAAAATTAATTATACAGCAGACAGGAACAATCACAGAACCAGACAGAGATTATGCAGACAAACAATAGCAAAGTGGGAACTATAATGACAAAACAATACAGAAGTGAGGATTTCACATCCCAGCTATGGATAAGTGAATTCTTGCCAGACAGGATGCTATCAAACTAAGTTTCCTTTTATATTTTCTAGGCACTTCCCTTTCTCTGGAGGCGATAGGCATTATCAGGACAGGATTGTATCCTAACAGCCCAATAGCACCTTCTTTCAATGTGACTAGTTTGGAATGTGAGGAGGTGACCGGTCGCTTCCCAGCTTATGGCCGCCTCTGCTGCTTAGCCAAAGGCCTTAGTCTAAGCACAGGGCCTCAGACTGTCACAGTAAGAGAAGGCCCTTACACTGGCAGACAGTGATTTTGATTCTTTCTTTTGTACCTCTAGAACTAGCCAAGTGATAAGAATACACCTAAATTCTTAGAGTATAGGCCTTTACAGACAGGCCTGAATATCTATATCAGTCAAGGTACAATGCTGCACCTGTTCTATTTGGCTCACGATGGGGAAAGTCCCTTTGCAAAGGGAAGTGCTAAAGAATTTATAGGTTGGGACTGTGACACAGAAGATGCAACTTCCTGAAAATCAGACCAGCTCACTGATGGACATCAGATGGGCCCAGTTGGAGTCTTGCTCTTCAGAACTTGGAATCAGTGTCTGGGATGAGCCTGGCTCAGAACCTCAGCAGAGCATCAGAGTCACAACCAAGCATCAAATCCCTCCTCAACTGCCACCTTCATGCCTGTGTGTCTTGTTCCCAGCACTGGGAACCTAACCACGAACCCCAGCCAAACCCACAATCCCATACATAGCTGCCGCTCATGTGCCGAGCAGGCAGATGAAAACGTGGAACAGGGGCTGTTGCAGGCCAGAACTGGGGGAAGCGTCATTTCCACATTATACCTAAACCCCTGCTAGCAACAAAGGCTTACCCCATAAGACACAATCCACCTTGTTCAGCTTAGGTAGAGCTACCGCTGAGGGAGCCCA